CTGGAGCCAGTAAAAACCCGTTACCTTGCGTGTATTGTTCGATATTTTATTTGTTTCTCACTTGTAAATAACTATTATAAATTATTAAAACCTCTAGAAGGTCCAATATTATTTGAAGAAACATCGTATGAGCTTTAGACGTATTGCCTTGGAAACGCACGTCAGCATGGCACTTGTCATAGCATTTACTGTGTTGTCTAGTCCTGTCATTTAGATTTTTCGATTTATCGTTTTCGATGTATTGAAATGAGTATGGCTGAAGCTATATTACTGAGGAAGCAGCAATTGTAAGTGAAAATTTACCTGAATCAATTTTGGCTGTCATTTCAACTTATAATAGTTTAAAATGTTTAAAATACATGGCGGTATGAACACGACCAGGGCTGTAATAGTTATTTACATTATGAGTGCGGTAGGTAACATTTTGCAGGTTGAGGTCCTAATTTGCCACCCGACGCGAAGCGGAGGGTGGCATGGGACCGAAACCTGCAAAATGCCTAACGCACGAAAATTGTATTAAATTTTTTCGCCGACATTGATTTTATTTTAAAAAATATTTGTTTTTAAAAATATTTTTCGAAATGGAAATAATGAAGTGACAGCTTATAGACTTGACGTTTACTGAAGGAATCTATAATACCGGCAGCCACGAGATGGCGCCATATGATTTTTTTTTTAATAATTCATTTTTTCTAATTCATAAGGTTTGATCGAACAAAACATGATGTAAAGTAGTATTCTAGTATGTTTTCTTTTATTATTTATGCAGAACTTTTTTTATTAGAGCTTCTAGAGGCCAATGCATATTGAATTACTTTGGCACCCAAAGGCGGTAAAGCAACGGTAAATTGATATTTGGTGCGTAAAGTCATTGCTACGCGGCATGTCAAAGGTGTATGAATGTTTTGTTTACATGTCAGGAGGCGAAAATAGTTATTTACATTCGCGTGTGGTAACTTACATTTTACAGCGCGAAATAAATTTGAAGCACGACGGCGAAGCCGGAGTGCTTTAATGATTGAGCGCTGTAAAATGGTTAACGCACAAGATTTGTATTAAACTTTTTGGCCGACAACTTTTAAAAATTATTTATATTTTTTATTCAATTTCACATAAAGTCAGAAATAAAACAAACATAACTGTCAATTAATTATGTCAATTACAGTGATCTGTAACTGGTGCATAAAAATACACAAGATGACGTAGGTCCGTTTGAACTAAAAAATATTCGAAATTATATGATACATTGCTGTTCAACAATAAATATCTTATGTATTTGCCGTTTTAATAATTATATTTTCGATGTTTAAAGAGATTTTTATTTATAAAGGTCTAGGAAGAGTGGACAATTTGGGCAATTTTTACGCACGCCGGGTGGTAAACATCCAGGATGACTGTAAATTTGATGCGCGTCTCGGGTTCTAATTTGCGCTCGGTCTAGAATGCTTGGCTTTGCAACCTTGGCTAATAATATACTATTTTCCAATTTCTACTAATAAAATGCTCATTTTGTATGTTAAATCTCGCTATTAAAACAATAGTTTAATCGAAAGGATGAATAAAATGTTTATAGCAACACTTTATTCGCACTGTCATTGACAACACGAATAAAGTGAAAAAACTAAAAATTCGCACTACCACTGAAATTTTGGTTGCTCTGGATGCGTGGATATTCAACTAAAATTTGCAACGCTTGATAGTCAACCTCCTGTAAAACAATCTTAATGAAAGTCCAGGAACATCCTTTGAATTTGACCGTGACGAAAGTACATGCAGCTTAGGCAATTTACCTAAGCATTAACATTTCCTTAAATGTTCATCATATTAGTAATAGCACAATTAATATTTATGTATGGATTACCTAAACAATAAATTTTTTGAAAAATCTTGTATGATACACGTGAATAAACAAATTTTATCCACTTGAAAACATTATCACACTTGGTTTCGCCTCGTGTGCTAAACTGTTTTTTCGTTGGATAAAATTCACTTTTATTCACTTATACCATAAATAGCTATTCTTTTGGGTTTTTGAAACTAATCTTAACAACGTTAACTTCAACATGATTTGGTACGTCAAAAAGTCATGTGACAGAATAGTTACTAAAATTAATTACTAAAATCCACATATTTACAACTAGTTATATATGTATAGTTACATTGTGGACAACTGTCAATTAGTTTTTTTATTGTGCGTCGACATTAGTCATGTTGCTGCTAATACTATTGGGAGAAATTGCTGCGCCCTTGGTGGACTTTTAATAAAAAACGTACTTTTCCACATATGTTCTTATATGGTTGTAAAAAAATTATGACGTGTTAAATTTTTTGATTTTTGTGTCGACTCGCTGTGGTGACCTTCTGCTATGTAGTATTATTTAATGTTAAGAGTCATAGTTTTTTTGTACGTGAAACTACATGTTATACTTACGTACATCATAATACTGATACCTATTTCTTGTGCTTCGACATCACAACACCAGTTAAGGCCCGGTTTTACAATGCAAGCTTAAGCGAGGTTCAAAGATAAGCCTTGGTTCAACTGCAGTTGTCCGTTTTACAATACATGGTTCAATGTTAAACCGCGCTCAAACGAAGGCTCAGCTGAGCGCTGATGTCAGGGTGGTTTAAGCTTCGCTCAACTGTCCATAACCTCAAATGTCTGTGCTTTATCGTTTTGGTGGTGTGACAGCATTATAATTGAAGATGGAAAATTTATTAGGAGTATTAACTGACGATGAAGACGTTTTAGAAATGATAAACATATTAGAACCGGCACGTATGCGACGACCAAAAGTTTTTCAGTTGAGAGAAAATCACTTTGAAAAGTGAAATGCTGGGGAATTTTTGAAACGATTTCGTTTTTCCAAGACTGGCGTACGGTTTATTTTGCAACAAATACAGGAGCAAATTACATCGCGAACAGAACGAAATCATGCAGTATCACTGGAGCAAATGCTACTTGTGACTTCACGTTTCCTTGCCACTGGATCTTTTCTGCAAGTTGCTGGTGACTTTATAGGGATTAGTAAAGCAACAGCTTCTCAAATAATTAATGTTTTGGGGTGTGGAAAAGACGCTTTCCAGCATTGGCTTTTGGAATTCGTTTAAAAATGTGTAAATTAGAGGCAGTGGTTGTGGCAACAGCAGTTTTACACAACATTGCAATTATTTTAAATGAAGAAGAACCGCCAGTGGACGCAGAAGAAGAAGCAGCAGTGAATTTTGTGAACGATGTTCTAATTGAAAACATTGGAGAATATAGTGGCAATTATAATCAGAACAATTTTGTACGGAACCAGTTCATCAGAGAATATTTTACTCATTTGCTTTTTTTGATTTCGTTTCTAGTTGCAGTAAATAATAAAATGTAATGTAATTATTTATTTAAGTATTATTATTTAAAATATTAAATTTTTGGGCAATTAATATTTCAATCTTCATTTGGTGTTCTGTTTTATTACTTCTAATTCAAGTGCAGCTTTGTCTCTCATAATTTGCATTTCTAGTTCATGTTTCTCTTTCATGGCTTTTAATTTAAACTCTTGCTCCTTTTGGATGTATTCCTTTCGACTTAGTTCGACAAGTTCTTTGGCAGCGGCACATTGCTCTAAATTATCACTTGTCTGGTTTCCTTTACCTATACAAACAATACATTAATAAAGTTTTAAGACAAGTGTCAAACATTTTTTAATATAAATATATATACATATAATAAATACCTCTACGATATGGCGTGAGTGCTGAAAATTTTTTTGCTTCAAGATTTTGGGGGAGTATTTAGCCCAATTCCCAGTTTGACCATTTTCTACAAAAATAACCATATTTGATTATTATTAATGTTTACCACTTTCTTTATTGGGACCACTTATTTTATCCATAACAGGCACTTCTCTCGAAATTGCTCCGGTTTGATCTTTTGGCATAAAACAATCTGAAATAAAGAAAAAATAGTAAAAAATTTCTGAATAAAGTGTATGTAAGGATAAAAAGTATTTACCATCATTTTCGTCATCAGACAGATTATACCGCTGTTACTTTGGAATGCTGAAAAGCATCAACATTTTAATTTTACAATACATATTATTCATAAAAATACTTATTACAGGTTGTTTCGGAATCGCCATCAAATTCGCTGCTATGCCCCATTGGTTTGGCCCCGAGAATTTCTTTTACAGCCACATCAACATCGGTGGCCTCAATACTTTGTTGTGACCCTCTCCCAGTACCACCGACATAGGCTTTCTCGTCAGCAAATTTTTTCGTTGTCCTCTTCTTAATGTTGTCGTACTTTTTGTTCAAAACTTTGTGATCCCGGAAGGTCTGGCCAGATAAAGAATTGAACTCTACTTCAATTTTCTTCCAACACTGATTTTTTTTTTTTTTGATTTGCATCAGTGTTGGACAATTTACACTCCAGAATATTTCTATACTTGCTTACTAAAGATAGGAGCAAGTTTTCTTCGGATTTTGTAAAATTCGGAGCACGTGTATTACTCATCTGAAACGAAATGTTAAAAATCATCATAATCATCTACTATTAACGAGCAAATGTTACATATACACATATACGTACCCCAGTAACGCAAAAAACTAATTACTTTGCAGAATTTGTCACAAATAATTTATAATAATGTGACATGATGACATAGATGACAACAACAACACACTTCCAACGTGCTCCCAACGTGGTCTCAACTGTCAGATTCTCGGGTGCGCGCTACCAACCTAAGGAAATTTGTGGTTCAGCTGAACCGGACGATAGCGGTGTTTGTAAAACGGACGCATGAATTGAACCTCAGTTCAGTTGAACTCAAGTTCAGTTGAACTCGTGTTGAACCGGACATTTGTAAAACCGGGCCTAAGAGATGTAAACACTGAAAGTTTATAAGAAATCTCTCTGTAATTCAGAATAATCAAAAAAATGAAAAAAGTCACTGTTTTTTAATCATGTCGATATGTTATAGTTAGATATAATATCTTTTGTATGTATCTTACAGAGAAACCGGCAATGTGGGTGCGCTAGCGGGGAGTATGGGACCGCCGGGATGGGCATGCGCACAGACCCACGGGGCAAGTCTCGTCCGCTGACCACCGTTTCGGTACCACTACTCATTCTACATACAGCTGCTGCCTTATTGGTTTTATTATTTCTGGAAACAGGTAAGCATAAAAGACCTCTAAAGATTTTTTTAACTGTCAATCCATTATTTAACTTTAGCGAGTTACGTATGTGTTGTTATGTTTTGTTAAGATTTTTCGACAAGAAAACCAGCCAAATAAAATATTTTATGTTCATCGACTTGTACACAGAAGAAGTATATTGCGAATACCATAGACATTATAAAAATAGACTCTTTACTATAAGGTTATTAAGTACCTAACAATATTAAATTAAATACGAATTACATCAACACTCTTCCTTATTTAATAACAAAAACATGCCTAAATAATTGCATAATTCCCTAAACCTAACTGATGACAATGGTTAGCATCTGCAAGCTGTCTCTGCGACTCTACTTTATAAATTTTAATTTGCCCAAAAGTAACTAGTATTAAAGAAATGTCGAGTACGAATGTGTTTCGTTCTTCTGTGAAATTCCGGATTCTGAGCCAATCGAATTGCAGCTTCATTGTCCACCTGTAGCGCAGGCGACTCTTTCAACTGACCAAGTTCAGTCAAAAGCCTTTTAATCCAGATGATTTCTCGACCAGCTTCACTTGTGGCTACGATATCAGCTTCTGTAGTGGAAATTGCAACAGAGGCTTGTCTTTGACTCATCCATGAGATCGGCGCTCCAGAGTATAGGCATAACACCCCTGATGTTGATCGTCCAGTGCTGAGATCACCAGTATGATCAGCGTCGCTGTAGCAGAACCCCTTTTTCATGGGCATTCCTGTACACAAGTCTATAATTTGAAGTTCCCCTCAGGTACCGCAGAATTCTCTTCACTCGAACCACGTCACGTTCTGTAGGATTCTCCAGGTTCCGGGACACCACACTGACAGCATAAGCGATGTCTGGCCGAGTTTCACACATCAAAAACATCAGTGCTCCCACCACTTGTAGGTATGGAAAATTTTCATTACGGGTACTTTCTTCAGTTTCATTATCTTTGACAATGGAAGTGCTCACTGCATTACAGTTGCTCATGTCAAATCTTTCTAACAACTTTTCCGTGTAGTGAGTTTGAGCGATCTGAAGGGAGCCATCTCCTCCTCGTTCGATTTCAAGTTCAAGAAAATATGTCGCCTGTTTGAAAGTAATTTTGAATTTTTTCTTCAACTCATTGATGAAGATTTGAAGTTCTTGTTTATCTTCACTTGCAATCAGTCCATCATCGACGTAGAGAAGAAATATCATTGTCTTTCCATCTTTTTGTCTCACAAAAAGACATGGATCGGCCTTGCTTTGTTTAAATCCAAGTCGTAGAAGCAGTTCGGTGATCTTCTTATTCCAGCAACGAGACGCCTGTTTTAGTCCATACAGACTTTTCTTCAGACGACAAACTCTCCCAGATTTATCCCCATAGCCCTCAGCTTGTTACATATAAATGGTTTCATCCAGGTCACCATATAAGAAAGCTGTGGAAACGTCGATCTGAGTAAGTTTCAAGTTTCATGCCTATATTGGCTACTACGCTGAGCAATGTTCGAATCGTTGACATTCTTGTAACTGGACTAAAGGTCTGGTCATAATCTACTCCTCTTTTCTGATTGAATCCTTTGATAACCAATCTGGCCTTGAACTTGTCGACTGACCCATCGGCGTTTGTCTTTATCTTGTAGAATCACTTGTTCCAGGAGGTAAACTCACTAACTCCCAGGTCTGATCATCTTTCAGAGATTGCATCTCACAATCCATGGCTTCTTGCCATAATTCTCTCTGATCTTACTTCATGGCTTCACTGTACGTTTCTGGTTCCTGAAATGTCGAAAGATACAGCGCGTAGTCGTCATATCGAATCGGAGCTTTAAGATTTATCATCATGCGTTAAGTCATGTTGATCAGAAAGTTCGATGTTTCCTGGAATTCTACACCTCTCCCTTGCTGTAAAGTTTTCTCCTCAAAGATACCGTCTCTTGATCTGATGAGCTTGCCCTCCTCTTGATAGTAAATTCTATATCCATCGTCGTGGTCGTAGCCGATCAATATTCCTTTGATGGCTTTTCGATCCATCTTGTGCCTTTGCTGTTTCGGCACATGAACATAGCACATGGAACCTATGATCCGTAGATGTTTCAACCTTGGTTTCTTCCCATACCAAAGTTCAACACTTGAAGGTCCCGTTCGATTTAGGATGTAATTCGCTGTGCGAATCATTTCAGCCCACAGACTCTGTTGAATGTTTCCATGAGCATGCATTATCGCTCTAGCAGTTTTAACAACTGTGCTATTTTCTCTTTCACTTGTTACATTCTGTTCTGGAGTATATGGCATCGTAAGGCGGTGGTTTATACCTTCTTTTTGTAAGATTCTCCTTACTTCTCTGTTGTCGAACTCTTTTCCATTATGACTCAACAGTTCCTTAATTAAATGTCCCGTGGTTTTTGTTTCTGCTATAAATTGACTTAGCTTTTCTGCAACTTCTGACTTCTCTTTAATAAAGTAGATAGTCCTGAATTTTGTCCAATCATCTTTGAACAAAACAAAATACCGAAAGGCTGACATTGATTCTTCAAATGGCCCACAAACATCTGTGTGAATCCGCTCTCCCGGTTTTGTAGTTTTCTCTCTGGTACCGAAAGGTAGGCGATGAGCTTTCCCATAGATACCTCCTTTACACAGTTAAGTGTCCATTTCCACCGTAACGTTGAATTCTCTATCCAGCAGGGACTTCACGTGTCGTTTATTCTGATGTCCAAGTCGTTCGTGGTATAGCTGCAAAACATTCTCTTTGCCTGTGACTTTAACTTCATTTAGCGACATAGGTTTCACGCTTCTCACTGCCAATTTAAAAAGTCCTCCATAACGTTTTCGTACATCGACTAACACTACATCTTTGCCAACTTTAAAATTTCCAATAGGGTATTTGCACTCAACTGCCAATTTTAATAAAAATTGGTGCAAGTGTTCCCTATGTAATATAGAACCTAAAGTCCTCAACAAAAGTTGAAAAAAAAATTGTAAAAAATATCCAGAGTCTTAATTCTTGAGTTTTATTTTAAAGGCGGAACCTGGTCTCTGACGTCATAAGCCATAGTCCAATCATATCAGTGCTGAACATGGCAACATTGAAGAACTTGTTCTTCAATGACGCGTACATAACTTGAGGTTATGTACGTGTCATACATAACCTCTTATAATTGTATAACCTATTTTACGATGTCGACTCTGCCAAAAAAGAGCGTTGGTCAAAATAACGCGCGACTAAAAAAACCGCGACAAAAGAGCGCCGAGACAAAAAAGCCCAGTAATTAAATAATATGGGGAAAAAAACGCCGAGACAAAACAGCATTTTTAGCTTTGTAGTAGGTTTGTGCCAATCCAAAGTTTTTCTCATTTTGTCAAATTTTCCAACGCCCGTCATGGAATTTGCGAAATCACAAAAAGGTAGAAGAATATTGTTTTATGGTGGTTACCGCTATCGCAAAGACAAAGAGAACATCCATTCCGTTTCTTGGAGGTGTTCTCAAGAAGGATGGAAGGGGAGATTGCTAGTGTCAGAAAATTCAAGTGAACCGACTTCAACAACGGCTCATAGTCACGGCTCAGATTCGGCATAGAGAGAAGTCGGAAGGGTGAGGCAATCTATGAGGGAATTGGCAGAAACTTCCAAAACCAAGGCGGATAATTCAAACCTCCATCGGAAGTACTTTCGAAGAAGCCGCAGTCCTCTTACCGACATACGACTCGAGAAGCTCTGGTAATTTTACCTGCCGAGAGGAAGTCGTAATTGAAGAACACCACAGGATTTCGGGAAGAGGTGAACATTTTCTGCTCTTAGACACAGACTTGGGAGATAACCAAAGAATTCTTGTTTTTGGCACCAGAACGAATTTGGACACATTAAAGGAGTTTCGGCACTGGGCGATCGACGGTACATTCAAGACCTCGCCTCCATTATTTCAATAATTATTTACCGTGCACGTAATAATAGACGGAAAAGCGATTCCTGTGATATTCGGTCTATTGCCCAACAAGCAAGAACGAACTTACATGAAATTTTTCGAAAGCATACTGGAAGTGGAACCACACTTGGACCCAGAAACAGTTTTGATGGACTTCGAAATAGCATCTTTGAGTGCAGTCAGAAGGTGTTTCGGGCAAGCAAGAACCGTCGGCTGTTTTTTCATCTAAACCAAAATTTATGGCGAAAAATTCAGCAAACCCATCTAACGGAACAACAGCGAAGTCAGAATAGGATGTAAGATGTTGCTTGCTCTCGCATTTGTACCTGAAAGGGACGTGCAGTTTGCGTTGGAGATTATCGATGAAAATTTTCCTCATGAAATGCTACCTTTAGTAGAATATTGGGAGAAAACTTACGTCGGAAAACGAATGCATAATTTGAGGTCTAGGTACGATATCAACATCTGGAATATGTTTGATCGAATGTTAACGGACCTACCAAGGACGAACTAGTTGAAGCTTGGCACAACTCTTTCAAACACTCTTTGGATTGCCAACACCCTCAAATCTATAAGCTTATTAGACACGGAACAAAGTGCTACAGAAATGCATATGGCGAGGTACAGATCGGGAATAAGAGTTTGAGAATCGGCCAACTGTAAATATGTTCAGCCGAGAAAGCGGTTGAACCTATTGGTTTCGGAGTACTCGTTTGTAAATGTTGAAAACTATTTGAAATCTGTGGCGTTAAACTTATCACTTTAATCGTTTATTGTTTGTTTAATTTTTGAATAGTCTGTTTCTAGTTCTGAAATAAAGTTGAGTTGATTTTGTGTGGTTTATTCATAACCGATCTATTTGGAGGCTATAGTATTACCGTTTTGAGACGTTTTATTGGGCTAGTAAAGGTAATTTTTAACATTTACGTCAATATTCATATTAATATTCACATGAGGACATCATTCTCGCTTGTCTACCCTTTTCTGACGTGTTCTATATGCCTAATAGTAATAAGACAATATATAATACAATTAATAGGTAACTATTAATTGTCGGAGATTATTTTGTCGCGTGCTAATTTGTCCTAGC